AGCAAAATTTGTTTATGACTCATGGTGCGCTGGTAACTAGAGAGAAGTCTACAGTGTTAGTGAGGCCAAGAAAATTGTTTGCACTTAGTTTCCTCAGATCTCTTGTTAACAAGACAGACACCAAACCTATCTGCATATGTCCCTTATAGAACATTCAAGAATGCAAGGTAAAATTTCAGCAATGGACTAATTCTTTTAGTTTTCTAATGGCAAGTGTTAGATACCTGCAGTATTACTAATAAATATAACTCGCATAATGGCAAGTACTAGATGTTTGCAGTAATACTGACAAAGGTAACTATGTATTTTGCCTTTCCTTCCTAATTATTTGTGTAGCAGCAGTCTGTGGGTAGATTCTTGTGGGTTTTTTAGAGAGGCAACTCATACTGGTGTAAAAGGTACCCATCTGGAAGATGGACTCTGGCATCGTATCTGCCAATGATGGTACATTAAAGGCAACTGTGGGTTTCAGTGCTAGAGTAACAGTAACCTAGTTTTCAGTCTCCTAGAACACAGCCCACTTCTGATTCCTGGACCGCCCCTTCCTGTCAAGCTCAGACTGGGATCTGGAGGTTGCCATCCTTGCTTTCACCACCCACAGTCCCTCTCACCTGCCCTCACCCTCACACGCTCTTGAGTGGGACTTTACATAAATAATGATGTCTCCATACAGCTAGATTTCTGCCATTTTTTCTAAAAGACCTGGCTCACTAAGAATCAAGTGCAAAAAAACTCAAAGCTAATATTGTATACATCTTACTTAACTGGAAGGAAACTGTGTACTTAATGCCTCCCTTAGTGTATTCTTGAGTGGGATATTGCCATTTTAATGTTACAAGAAGTCACCAAAAATGTGAGCACTAAAATGTGTTTTGATTGTATTATATGGGGAGATTTCGTTATTAATCTGTATTATTTCCAAGTTCTTTTTTCTAAGTTTCTTGAAGGCTGCAACCATGCAAACTGATTTCAGTAGGAGAAACGTCAAGTATACAGGCAAATATTTTCAGCTTGTCTGTGTCATGCATCAACTGGTAATTGTTCTTTTATCCCAGTGGATATTAGCGAGGCAGGAATTTCCATGGTCTCTTTCCTGGCAGAAAAACTCTGTGATGTTCTACATAAGGAAAAGTTTCAGTTTTGTGCTGATATGCAATTGCCTTACAAAAGACTTGAGCATCTGCTGAAAACCAGTATTGCCCTGGAAACAAATTCCTGTCTTCGACTAGAGTCATGCCTTGTGAAATCATATTTCTACTTGTATATTACTTCATGCAGGATATCAAGTGTTTCTTTGTTTGATGTGTGAGGATTAGATGACATGATCATTAGATGACATGATCAATGGTGCCAGTAGAATACAGCAACAGGAAGGTTTAGAAGCAGTTAGCGTTAAAGCCCTTGATGGTGCACAAGTAAGTGTAGAAGATGTTGAGTACGGTGGAGATATGATATAATACACCAAATTATAAGCCTGGTGTAAACTAGTTGGAAAAAAGTAGTAAGCGTCAGAGTCTAATTTGCAGTTTTAGCATGGAAGGGTACCAGACCAGCAAGTGAATAGGGCCAAGGGATGTGTTTGTATGGATAGAAACCTAACTCCACTGATCTTGTTTATATCAGCAGAAACAAGAACAGAAATTTCTATATAAGCTTTTGCATCTTTTAATTGTAGCAACATTACCCCTGTATTTTTACATGTGTGTTTTCTTTGTCATTTCTGAAGTGATCAGAAGTGTATGTGTTGGCTTAGCCTGTTATTCAGTGATAGAGAACTTCAGTAGCTTGAGACAAAAATGACAGCTGTTGGTGTTCCATAATTCAAGAAATGCATGGAAACTTGCACTCACTAATTATGACAATATTGTCAAGTTCTGTGCTTGTGTAAAACAAGATTTGTGTTTGAAGTGAGACTTGGTGTTTGGGGAAAAAAAGTCCAGTTTAATACATACTCTTCTACTAACTGCTCTTTAAAAAGTAGATGGACAGAGTACAAAGGCCTGGATTTGAAAACCCACAGTGTTCTCAGCTTTCATTGACAATAGGAGGCTCTGGGAGCCTGGCTTCAGCATTGTGCCTCTGAATTCATGAAGAGTATTTGGTTCAGATACAATGGGAATTGCTTGGAATGCTGTCTTTGGAATTTGGGGGGGGGGGGGATAATAGTCTTAATTTCCATGTTTCCTTCTCTTACAAATTAGATTCTCAAGAATTGTGTAACTTTCTGTTAAAATTAAATAGATACTTCTGGTTTTCTTTGACTTCCATTTTGTTGTCTGTTGCTTTTCTGGTTTGGGGTTGGGGTTTTTTTTGAAGATGAGGAAGAAAGAATTCACATTATTGCAGTGACTGCTGCCTCAACAAACATGATCACTGAATGTAAAGGGAAAAAATAAATTGAGACTGCCCTGCTCCACTGTGATACTCAGTTTTGCAGTAATTGTCCCATACTGCACATTCCCTCCTCTTGATGTCTGTCCGGTGCAGAGTATTAAATCCTTAAGGAAGTAAAATCTTGAATTTGGCAGGACTGTGCTGTCTTATAATTTGGGTGTGGATTGGGCTGTAAGATTAGGCATGTGGTATGGAGAGCAGCCCTGAGGAGAAGGAGTTGGGGATGTTGATTGATGAAAAAGTCAGCATGAGTTGTGTGTGCTTGCAGCTGGGAAAGCCAACCATGTCCTGGGCTGCATCAAAAGGAGCATGGCCAGCAGGGTGAGGGGATTCTGTCCCTCTACTCTGCTCTTGTGAGACCTCACCTGCAGTCCTGCCTCCAGCTCTGAAGCCCCCAACATAACAAGGGTGTTGACCTGATCAAGTGAGTCTAGACAGGGCCACAACAATCCTCAGAGGGCTGGAATACATCTATGAAGGCAGGCTGAGGGAGTTCAGCCTGTAGATGAAAAACTCCAGGAAGATCTTTCAACAGTATTCCAATATCTAAAGGGACTGACAAATCTGGAGAGGAGATGTTTACCAAGGCAATTGGTGATCAGAAAAGGGGTGATGGCTTTAAACTTAAAGAGGATAGGTTTAGATTAGATACTAGAAAGCTTCTTTACTGTGAGGGTGGTGAGACTGGCACAGGTTGCCTAGAGAAGTTGTGGCAAGTGTTCAAGGCCAGGTTAGATGGGGCTTGGAGCAACATGGTCTAGTGGAAGGTGTCCCTGCCTGTAGTAAAGAGTTGGAACTGAATGAGCTTTAAAGTCCCTTCTAACCCAAACCATTCTAGAACAAAAATCTCTCCAACTAAACTGCACTATCCAGATGTTACTAAGGCATTAGATCTAGGATTCACTAATTTAAATACTTTCAAATTACAAAAGAAACAAAGGGGTTGGTGAAAAAAAAAAAGTAAAAGATAGCAAAGCGCATTAGAGGAAAAAACCCTGAAATGTGAGTGTTCTTTTTTATCATTTCACCACCACCAGCCTGAATTTTTCCATGTGGCTGCTTTATGCTGGAGGCCCATTTCCACAATTACCCTGCAGAAAAGGGCCAGCAGTCTTGCTTATAAGCGTATATGTATTCAGGTGATTCCTTTGCCTAAAAATAAATGTGATGTGGGGTGCTCTGGGGCTGTGTCTTCAGTCTCTAGAAGTGGTTCCAGAGGACAAGGGTCTATTTCTGTATGTGCGGTATTTGCTAGCTCCGTGCAGTTATTGTACATACATGGGACAGCAGTGGGTAGATTTGCAGAGTATGCAACGAGGCAGATTTTTGGTGCATTTTAGAAATACTTGGGACCTGATTCCTTCCCCCCCCCCCCCCCCCCCCAAGGTATAATGACTCCAGGTGCCTTCTCTCTTGTCTACATTTGTCTACCCTCAGTAACAGGCACTTGCGTGGTTAGCAGGTTTTTTTGAAAGTGTTTCCTGCATAAATAGATCTAACCCAGTTATTTAAAATTTGCTCACCTGTCGCTAGCGAGAAGTCATTGCAGCAGTATGGCCTCAACTGTGTTTGTTAGGAGTGGTAGACTGCCTTGCATTTTTACATCAGTTATGTGGCTGAGAATGGTAGGATTCGACCCTTCAAAATCCACTCATTGAATGCCTTCAAATATGTAAGATTCATCAGTTCCTTCTTGCTTTGTTAAACATTTGGGAGTTTCTTAGCCAAAATGAGAACAACACAGCAGGTTAATAACACAGAGTGTGGGGGTGTGCTGGCTTGTTTAGTTACTGCACTGAGCACAGCAATTATTTAAGGTTGCACAGAACAGGACTGTGATGTGACTGCTTAACAGAAGAAAATACCAAGCTGCTGAAGTACACAAATCCAAGGAGGAGAGAATGTGGTATAAAGTCTAGCCAAGCAAATGAGTTATAATATATAAATCAAGTAACAAAAAGATGTGGAAAAAAGGACTCTTGAAAAAATAGATCATTAACTAGGATTCATGTCCACAAATGCAGTACTCCCTAAGGAAAAGATTGTCACTGACTAATAGAAAGCTGTAAAAAGAGATTTAAAGAGAAATGTCCTGCTAATGAATGTGCATCTAAAATCTGTGATCTTAGCCATAGCACGGCTGCTGCAAACATCTTATTAGATTCACAAAAGTCAATATGAATTATTAATTCATATCAGATAGTGCTGGTTTCCCAAGGGATTAGGCCTGAGAGAGATGAAGGGGACCCTGCTGTGAATGCCTCCAGTTAGACTGCAAAGGATAGAAGCAGAGTCTCATTTTCTTTCTCTTTTCATGAGCTGAGTGAATGTGTACCCAGTTACATGAGGCTTTCAGGCTAAGGCTGGCAACATCCAACAGAAAATGCTGTTTGATAAGAATCTTGGTTTCTGGGACTTTACATGGAAAATGCACCCTATGGGAACCAAGCTGAGGATACACCAAAACAGATCAAAAATATTGAAAATAAAACCTCAGCTTCTTGTAGTTAGAAGTATTGCAGTCTTGAGACCATTTAGGACATGATGGGTGCTGGCAACTGGGTCGAGTCTAAGAAGAGACAAGAATATACAGCTCTGACTGAACATCTCTTGGCAAGGTGTTTCATGTATTTTTAAATTAGCATCAATACAATAGCAAAACATGTTACTGACAAGAACATGAAATTTGCTGTAAATTGGTCTTATTTACATTAATTCAGATGTTATTTGAGTCAATAATCAAGATTCAGATCCTATTTCTAACATATCACTACCAGTAAGAGCAGTTTGTAAGAATCAAACAGAAGTGAATGGAGAAAACTCAAAGCTCTCCAGCTTTGAGAATGTTCTTTGCATTGTGGTTTTGGAGAAGGAAGGAAGGGCTTTGCTAAGGAATGTAGTGTGGCTGGCCTTTGCTAGTGTTTTATGTTATTCAGACCAAAAGGAAACCAATCCCCATAAACAGTTCAGGGAGAAAAAGCTTTGAATCTGTAGCTTTTAGGGTTTTATCTTCACATTCTTTCTTCTTGTCAGATTATGCTTGAATTAATATCCTGCTCATCACAGCCGTCTGTCCAGAGAGAAAAATCTTTGTCCTTGCTGTGCTTCCTAAGCAATTGGTAACTTTTCTGCCTTTTGCTTTAGCAGACTTCTGAAAAGAATTGCATGCTCTTTGGAAAAAGGAAAAGATAATGAGTCAGGGTGCAGGTTACAGCAGCAGGTATCTTAGTTTATAAGCAAGTGTCTACAGTCTTTCCAGGGGTCTTGAGTGCCTGTTTTCTTTTATTCACAGCATTCAAAACTTTCTTTCTTGGCCCAAGTTCCATCTGAATGCTCTGTAGATCCTGATCAGAACATAGCATCAGGGCATCTAAATCAATTTTTTCCCTCATGAAGACAGGAAGAAACTCATCCAGCATCTGTGATGCCAGAAATACCTCAAGGGGTGTGTTCTCTGCTTCCTCGTCATCCCAAATGACTTCTTCCTCATACCAAGGGATATCAGCACCATTTTCAGCATCATCTTCCCTGGTGTTTTCAGCATTTTCAAACTGAAAGAGCTCACTGGACATTTTAAAGCTTGTATCTTCTTTCTCAGAAGATACAGTTCCAGGATTTACATCTGCAGCCAAATTCCTTCCAAACACAATCTTGCCAAGACCCGGCCGCTTAAAAATGGAGAGCTGACTGTCATTATCAGAAAAGCTTTTCTCTTCAAGCTCATTCAGTAATTCATCCTCTTCTTTCTCATCAAAAAAATGCATCACTGTTCTCCTACCTGTACCATTCTCTTGTGCATTGCTTTCCTGGCTTCTTGTGTTGTCATCTGTCTTTCTTGCCTTCAGTTTGAAGGTATCTTTCAGATTTTTGGAGAAAGAACTTGTTGCAGTTGAAGCAAAGAGACTGGGCAACTTTACTCTGGAGTATGTCCCTCTGGAAGAGTTTACTGTGCCAACCTTTTCTTTCATATAATTCCTGTTCATTTCATGCTGGTGTTTCTCTTGGCGCTTCTCGCATTCCTTGATTTGTTTCTCCACATTCCTCTGGGCCTGTGCTTTGAGTTTGGAGACCTTCTTTGGATTCAGCATGTTCTGCTCGGTGGCTGCTTTGTCCAGGATTTGGACACATTGTTTGCGGTCTCTGCTGGCAGCTGCCTCCAGGGGAGTGCGGAAATCATTGTCCAGAGCAAAGATATTGGCACCAAAGTTGATCAAAAAAGAAACACAAGAGATGTGACCATTGCAAGCAGCATGGTGGAGAGGCGTGTTCCCCCAGATGTCACATTTGTCCGGATCACCTCTGAGGAGGAAAACAGCATAGAGTGAGCTGGATGTACCCAAGCATAGCACTGCAGGGGGATTGAGCAGATACTAAACATTTAGCTCTGCTTTGCTGTAAGTACTACAGCCCAAGGAAAATGAGTCAGCTTAGCTCCATCCTCTAGAACCACGCTGCACCTACTTAACGTAAGCGCTGAGTTTAGCTGCATGTGCGGCATAAGCTCCAATTCCTGCCTGCCTGTGAATTAAGCAAGCTCACTAAGGCTGAGTGTGAATGCATGTGCAACTCTCCTTAACAGAGCCAGGGTATTTCCTTTGTGTTATCCCAGGCTATTGGCAGGGTTTGCTTTGCTCCTTGCTGGTCTCATCTGCCTCACCTACAACAGTGCAGCAAATGCCTGTGTACAGGCAAGGGACAGCAGCTCTGACTGCTTTGTTGCTGACAGCTCAAAATGGGCTCAGGCTTCTACTTACACTTGCTGGAATTAATGGCAAAACTGTTTCAATAGATTTTGTGTGGAATATTTTAAAGACATTTTGGTGACACTTCCCTTTTGCATATCAAATGGAGGAGCAATATTAGGAGGATTATTCACTGTCCACAGTGGTATATATGTAATGAGCTCACGGAGTAACTTTTTTGGTAGGTAATAGGTAAATGGTTAGGAGTAAAGCCCTGGTTACACATTTGTCTCCATTGCTATTATATTAAGCTCAGATAGATGCTGTTGTTTTTCTTCAATTCTTTTATTCTCCTTAAGCTGCTTTTTGCTCATGGCGTTTGAAAAGCAGAAGCTCTTTTGAAAATAAAATACCACATCTTTTCAATTAAATTTAGAGCCAGTGAGAAATATTGCTTTATTTTTAACTCTTGCACTGACTTCACACTGAACTGCTGCCTGCAGACAAAAATTGGCTTGAATCTTTTGGTATGTATTCGGCATAATCAACATTAACAAAGTTCAGAACAAAGCTTGAGCCATCTTGTGACCAATGGTCAAGGCAGCCACAGCAGCCTAAAACTTTTAATAACTTCAGAGACAGGGGTCAATTTACAAGGAGAATTTCTACTTTTGGGAGTTCAAAGATGTCTTGGAGATTTGTTCCACAGCAGCTGAACTATGAGTGAAATTGTACATCCTATCACATCTCCTTCAGGCACTGATCTCTGCCTTTGAGTATCTCTGAATAAAAACACTAACATATTTGTCAAGGGCCAAATCTGAAAACATCCTTCAGCCTGAAATGCCACAGGCAAGAGAGGTCAGGTGTCCCTGCAGAGCTGAGACATAGAGCTGCCCACATCAAGAAACAATAGGAAGCCCGAGCATGCCAGGCTGTGGGACCGCAGGCATTTCTACAGGGAAGTGGCAGCTGAGGGTCAAAGTTTCTCCACTTAGACATGTGGGAACCATGTGTTCATGGTTCTGCTTCTGTAGCTGTGCCCTCTGGAACTGCCTGGCTGCGGCAAGCATGCCAGATTCCTTAATTCCCACATTAGCAAACAGGCTGTGTTATCCTGAGCCTTGGGAGCGCTGGGCCATCCCTTCTCCCTCAGGTCTCTCCATAGCTTTTTGTGGTCTCCCTTCCCCATGGATGCTGCCAGCCTTTGAGTCTCAGATAATTGTCAAACTGGAGTGTCTGTTCCCAGCTCAGTGCGACTTTGGATAAGGTTTGACATTTACTTTGGGTTCTCATATTTTCCCTGCTTTCCCAAGAAAGAGGCTCACACAAAAGAGAGCAGATCTGCTACTTGGTTTTGCCTTCATTTATGTACCTGCAAAGCAAGCAGAGAAAATACCTCTTGATGCCTGGGAACATAAACTATTTCAAGATGAAAGGGGTTATTGTTAGTATTGCTAAATCATCCAAGGACTGAATATGTTGCAAGCCTCAGAGTCCTAAAATCTGCAACCACCCTAAAGAAAACCATCCTGTACCTCAGTGCCTTTGTCAGGAAACCTCTTCAAGGATAGGATGAATTGTTAAAAATAATTAAAATACTTTCTCACAGAAAGTGTTGACTGCAGAACAGACTGAACATCTTCCAAATCTCAGGTTCTCTCAGGAAAACCAGTGAGGCTGCAGCCATACCTCTGACAGGCGCAGCTTGCTGATTGTGTCAGGAAATCTTGGATTAAAATAGAGGTGAATGTGTGTGTTTGAACATTTTGAGAGCAACACTGTCCCAAGCTGTCTTCTAGCAAGAAAAAGAGCTAGAAATATATTAAATAACAATGACATAGAAATCCTGATCTTTGTGTTGTCCACTGTGACTTCTATCAGCTCATGTGGTACAAGACATATTTCTCACTCCAATTTTGACAGCAAAAATTACTTTGTTAATTGTTCCTTAGCTGTCTGTCTTTGAGGTGGTCAGGGACAAACCTTTATTGACTCTAGATATCTCTGTGAAGCTGCCTTAATTATATGAGTTGAAAAACTGTCAATCTATTTTTTGCTTGTCCTGAGGACAAAGCAATAACCATTCAGTCCAAAGGTCTTTTTTATTGTGTTATTACAGCCACACCTGAGCTCAATGAGCTATAAAGCAAATCTATGAAAAAAGCATTTTTATTCCATATTTTCAATTCTTATTTTTAATAAAACCGAGATACATCTGAGTAGTTATTTAGATTTTTTTATCCATTCTTCTTTAACCTATTAGGATTGAAAGTACAGGTCCACTTAATCGTCATCTCAGTGAAGTAACATTTTATTAACTGTCTCTCTACACAAGAGCATGTTGTCTTTCATTAGATCTTATTACAGAATCACAGCTTAAAAGGTAGGCTCCAAGCAAGAGAGTATGGAGGGGTGGGAGGTAATTACCTTGTCAATAATGAATTTTAAGTATGCAGTACATTTAAATGATACCAAACAGAAATATTACTATTACAAAATAAACCTTTAGAAAACCTTCCTTTCCTTTCTTCTTTTTATTTGTTTTGTTTTGTTTTACAAGGATCCTACCCCAGCTTCTGAAACAGTATTATCATTTTTAGCATTGCGGTAGTTGCTAATACTGTAAAAAGCAGAGAAATAAGAATTTTAGGTGTTACTGTCTTAAAACTATTAGTTGTGACTGGCCTCTGGAAAGCGTTAAATCTTCACAAAGGTCTACCAACTGCTCGTTGGAAGCAAATGGGAGAGATTTCTTGCTAAAAATGTTTCAAACAATGCACTTCTGTATGGAACCCATTTCAAAGACATGTTATCGTCAAAGGTTGTTGACCAGCTTCTCCTCCATTATAGCAAAGGAAGATCCCAGGCCCTTGCTCCTACCAACCACTCCCTGCAGGCTCCATATACAAGATGGTTCTGCTGATGCTGATGCGGCTTCACCGACTGCATGTACAGACCTGCATGCAGGTTCTGGAGCTAAAACATTGCGAATTAAGGGAAACAGTTCTTGGCAATGAGTTGAAGGGAGCCACTGTGATTTTCAGCCTTTTAGGTCTGAGGTCGTCAGGCATTAGAAACATGACACACATTATACTTTTGAACCACAAGCTTTAAGCAATGGAGACTGATGACTTACCCCCTCCGGCATATGACTTCCAGAGCATCTAGATATCCATGGTATGCTGCCAAAATGGTGGGTGTCATCCCATCCTCATCTGAAGTATTAAGGTCTTTCCTAGTTGCTTCTTTCAAGAGGTCCAAATTGCCATCGGCTGCTGCTTTATGATACCTGCTCGACATTTTCAGTAGCTTCTGGTTTCCCAAAGCAGCTTGAACTATATGCAGGGTGTACAGTCACCCTTCCATTACAGGGATAGTTCATTAATGATTACAAGTTGAGACGTCCCTGTGAGGATGGAAATGAGGAGGCAAAGTTCATCTTAGCAGACAAATTAGCTGCAGCTCTGCATAGGTAATAAGGTGGTGGTGCGGTGAATGCTTTCATTTTCTGGAAAGTGGCTCTGCTTTTTACCATTTGTTGCATATTTGACTACTTAAACTTGAGTGAATTCATTCATCTTCTCTGTGCCTTTGCTTAGCTGTTCTGAGAAAACTTCAAAAGGACCTTGAACTTCAAACAACCTTCAAAAGCCATGAATGTCAGTATGAGCAGGTTACACCCTAAGTAATAAAGTATCCGTGAGTTTTGATAGGATGTAATGCATGAGCAGTTCCCTTTACTGGTGAAGTCCTCTGTAACCTATCATTTACTGGTTTGCTGCATTTGAAAACAAGCCTTTTCCCTGCCGAACTGGGCACATCCATGAAGCTGTCTTGGGAACACAGATTGGTGTGCAGATGGAAACAGACCTGTCGGAACCAGGGTGGTGTTGGGATAAAACCACCAGCAGGTCTGCAAGTCAGAGCAGGCAAAACCACAGCATAGAGTGTGATCCTTTTAACCACAAGTTGAATTTCATCAGAGGATCTTAAGGCATTTGGCAAATCTACATTCATCTACAGGTATTGTAATCTCTAGTTTAGATAGAAAAAAAATGTGCAGGATTTCCTCAGGATAGCACTTTGAATTCAAGAAACGGGAACCTGATGAGCCTCCACCAGCTGCCCCTGCCTGGGCACTGTGGTTCTCCAGGTCCTATCTCCTATAACAACTACTTGCTTTAGAAGTCATATCCCCTGATTCAGTGTCATTAACAGCTACCTCTATGAGTAGAAGCTTATAGAATTAGACGGTAATTCTAATTCTTAGATTCAAAAGAATTACTAATAGAAAACCATGTAAAAGGTCAGTTTTAAAAGAGTAGCTGAGAAATCAGAGACTACCTGCTGCTTAATAAAATGCTGCAGGCTATCTGTTATTCTGGTCACATTCACAACAGCTGCGAGATGAATATTACTTCTTGTCAAGCTGTTTTCTGTGACTAACCAAATTAACCTGTATCTTGGAGAACCTACCTCAGCAATTAGCAGTGAGGTTTTGTCCCTTATTATGCCCCTTTACAGAAGCAGTAGCAATTGCAAACCGGCCCAGAGCTGGTGCAATTACTGAATGGAGTGCCACCTCATTTACTTCCCATAATGCTACCCATGAAATACACCAGAGACCTTTCCAAAAGGGCTTTCTTTCTTAATTATTTTCTCAGACGGGGATTGAAGAACTCTTCAGGAAAAAACTTGCACCAACATTTTTCTTTCATGAGGACAAGGAGAGTCAGTTAGATGCTGTAGAGGTTTGAATCTTTGAATAAATAAGTCTAGGCAGGAGTAAACCAAAGCCCTGTTTTTCCTACAAGTTATCCACAGACACAGCCACCTCCGATGCTATCCTGCTGTCCCAGGGCAGTGAGGAAGGGCTATGCTTCACCCAGGTCACCTCCATCCCCGCATTAGAAGGCAGTTTCACCCTCAGCCCTTTTTCAAGTTCCCTGCACTGCCATTAATATTTTTTCCAATAAATATACAGTTATTTATTCATTTTTTTTTATTTAACCAGGCTCAGCACCAAGTTAAATCTACAGATACTAGAAAAAAACTAGCTGTTGCAGAACAAAGACAGCTAATACACATATATGTTTATGTTTGCTACAATTAGCTGTTTCTTGATGCCATCAAATTTTATTTCATTTACTGGGTAGTGTAAGCTTTTTTAGTCTCAAGAGTGTAAAATGATCACCAAGGTGTGTACTGCATATATCACTAGTGCCTGGTGGACGAGAGGAAGGAGACAGTAAGTTTCTTGTATTTCACATTGTTAGCTACACCCATTAAAGTGATTTGGTAGCAAAAGAGACCTTTCATTTTCAATATTATTGATTTCTACTACAGGAGTACATTAGTTTCTTTTCTGTTCTTTAATTCAGTACACACAGTGTTGATCTCATAAATCTCTGTAAATATTGATTTTGAAAGAATCTGTATGATGCTAAGTGGGAGACTGTTGTGGCAAGTTTTAATTAAGAGGTAAAGCAAAACCCACGTCAGTTGGAGAGAAGCTCTGGCACTTTGCAAGTGTTATTATTATTTATGTCACAAAAGTGGCCATCACAATAAAGAAAGAAGAAAGAAAAGACCAAAAGAAATCTCTATCTGTTTCTAAACTCCTGGTACTTGTTCACGTTTGGCCCACCCAAAAAACCTCAACATAAAATGCAACAGTGATTCAATGTCAAATGAGCTAAATTTCTCAGCCTGAATGGAGATTTTTCTTTTCAGATGAAAGATCAAAATTGTGAACTTTTTAAATTGCCTGAGTAGTTAGAATGAAGCTTTTCTTTTGGGGTTTGGAAAGAACTTCAAAACCATTCCACTTCCAATTGAAATGTCTTACCAGGCTCAGGAGAAACTCTGTTGTGACAGTATGTGTTGTTGTAAGCTAATGAATTCGTTAACAAGCAGCTCTGATTTGTTATTGGATTTTGTTATGTATATCCTTATTTCTCTATTTATTTTTTTTTTTTAGGACTAGCTTAAATAAAATATTACCAGTTAAACTGTTTAGATTGAAAGACTACACCATCATTAGTTATGTTGTTCTAGAAAACTCGGAGCCTGATCTGAACAATGATGTTGTGCCATCTGTTTTGCATGAGGTATTATTCAGCAGAACATTTCCTTATTACAGTTTTTATAAGCACCAAATGTGGTATGGTGAAGGCCATAGGAGATGAGGCAAGTAAGTCTCTGCTTGCCTAATGAGATCCCTGGAACTAATGGGCTTAGAGAAGAATGAAGTTAGTCACACATGGTAATTGTGGCTACACAATTCAGAGATGAGGACAACATTTAAACAACAATAGGAGTTTATTTCTTCACTCCTTAGGCAAAACTGCTGTGCCTGAGGACACTGTTGCTGGATGCCCTGTGAGCAGCCGCATTCCCACAGTGGAGTTAAGTATGACCCTCACCGGTTCTGCCCAAGACCCATCCTGACATGATCATTGTTCAGGTTTATCTGCGCCCAAGTCGGGGGTCCAAGGTTAGCCCTTACAATCTGCCTGCACACATCGTTTCAGGAGCAAGGCTTTAATCAATAGGGAAAGATACTAAAATTGAAAGTCAATAAAGCCAACTCTACCAAAGCCTTGTCTCTTCTCACCTGCACACCTCGATTCCTTGCCATACTGGGCACATAAAAGCAGACTGTGGGGTTTCTATAAGACTAAAAGCAGTGACATTTCCTGTTTTATCATAGTGACATTTGCAATGAGTGTTTTGGGACTGCTCAAAAATAGAAGACCTGACCCAGCCTTGGGCTCTTTGCATTGCTAAAGCCTTTTTGTTGGTTTTAGTTTTTTCTTTTTCCCCTGATACCAACAACAGTGCTATATGAACAGTCCCAAGGACAGCCATATTGAGCTCAGTGGTGTCACAAATGTCCTGCTGCCAGTGTGTGAGGGACAGGGACTGCAAAGCCCATAGGAAAGTGCCCTGTTGTTACAGGTTATTGTTGCATATTGTTACAGGTTAACAATTTGTGGAGGGAATGGCCACGCTTTCTCTGTAGCTTAACGTGTGGATTCAGATGTGTTGAGCGAAGCAACAACTAATTACTATAGCACACCCTGATGAATTACATCTGACAAACTTACATACTCAAAGATTGGTATTAGGAGATGCTAAAGCACTAGAGGGCTAACCCACTTGAGGTGACTGTCATGATAGCGTTGCTTTAACTGTTAAATGTTGTCTGGCCCAGCATCACCTTTCACTTACACAAGCCACAACCTGTTATGAGGCATTTGGGAGTTGGTAAAACACAAAGTTAACTCTAGCAGGTGAGGACAGGCTGTGCTTCTGCACAGGGACCATGCTGCTGCTTAGGCTTAGGCTTCCACAGGTGTCTCCTGTGCTAGCAGCATCACTCTGGTGTGATGCAAGGCTGAGATTCTACCAACCCAGAGTCAGCCACACTCTGAGAATGTGATCCAAAGCTCTCTGAGACTTACAGCTTTCCCATCAACTTAATGAAGCTGGGAATCAGGGGCAGAGAAATTGCGAGTAAATTTAACTTTACAATGGATTTGATTTCCTGAAAGTACCTAATTTGTGGAATTCATTAAAGGATGTATACTTGAAACACTTTTTTTCCTCTACTGTGTTAGTTAATCCCAAGCTAAATAATAATAGATACGTGATAAAATAAACTTTGTATGTCTTTGTTGCATTAATTTTCTGTATGACCATTGCCTTTGAAAACAATGACTCTTATTTTAAAAAGAGGAAAAAAAGGTACATGTTATATGTTTGTGAATTCAGGAGTCTCTGGGAAGTTAATTACTTGCCAAAGGTTAGCCACCTGCTAATCCTTTTGATGACAAAAGCAGAAGGGTGATTTCTTTTTGTGCTGTTTACTGTAGTGTGGTTATGGATCTAAGCTAATGTTGCTTATTGCTATGAGTGGCATTGTGCACACTTGGTATCCCCACTTGCATATTAGCTTTAACTCTGCATTTGCCATGTTCTCACACGGGTGAAAGTGAAAGGGATGCTCATAAAGAATATGAATCTTTTTAGTTACTTACACTAGTGATCTGCATTGCCTGTATGGATCATACTGCTTTGCCACACAGTGCACTGGTGGCAGTCATACACTTTGCAGCTACTTCCACTCATGCTGTTGTCCCACTTCCCAGTGCTCTGGTATCTACCAGCAGTGGACAGACAGCTCTTTCTGACAACTCTGGCTTTAAGAGAATTGGAGCTACTGTCACTTGGGCTGGAAACTCTAAAATCTGCTCTAGGCAGAGGTCTGTAACTGTAAAAAAATTATAAATGAATATATTTTACATGAACACATGCTACATTAATACAAAATCTGTCATTCCCTGAAGCCATATTTAACATCCCATTCCTAAATTACCATCCATACTATTCATTTTAGTCTCTTCCTATGATCTGTCTTTTTTGCTTTCTCACATCTCAAGAATT